GTCCTGGACACACACACACACACACACACCTACACACACACACACACACACACACACACACACACTAACGCGCGCTGCCGCGGTGCGCCGTGTCTGTTTTTCGCGCGGCGATAACACGGAAGCAAACAGGGAAGGCGCTGGCCGCGCCTCTTGGGCTGGAACGCCATGGAATGTGTCTCCAAGGCGTCGCCGCGCCAAACCAGCCGAACGCCAAACGGCCGAGCAAACAACAGATATGATGCCCAGGCTTTCTTTCAGTTTTGCGTGACTTTACACTTCTTTTTACCTTCTTGGGCGCGTGGCTAACTATTCGTCCGCCGATAAGGAACGCGCACACCCGCGAGGCGGCCGCGCCTTTCCGCCAAATAGGGCGTGGCGTGGCGGGGCGGGGCGGGGCGGGGCGGGCCGCGAACGCCAAAGACGCGAAGCTGGGGAACCAGAAGCAGCCCGATTCGGAGCGCGGCGCGGAGCAGCGCCTCTCCAATTACCCGACTCGCTCTGTCTCTCTCGCACTCGCGGGGCGCGCCGCAGGGGGTGCGAGAGAGACGGCTGCACACCTGATTGCACCCACAGGGACAGGTGTGCGGCGCGGCGGCGCGCACGTGTGCAGTCAGGGCAAGGCAAGGCGCCGCCTGAAACAGGAGCCAGCCCGACCCGGGTGGCAGGCAACGTAACGGGGAGGGAAAAGTCGCTCTCGCCGGTGTTTGAACCCGCGACCCGGCCGACGCCGAAGCAGGGCCGGACTGCAGTGTGGTGGTTGGTGGTCCCGGCGGGCGCGCTTCGGCGTGCTTCGCTCCGATGGCGGTGACGCGTTTCGGCGGCTCTAGGCGCGGCCAGCGAGGCGCACGTGCCGCCGGCATGTTGTTGTCTCGGCCGCGTGGCCGCGTGGCGTGTGTAAGGGGGCGTGCCTGGTTCTGAGCCCGGGGCGGGGCGGAGCGCGGGGCGGGGCGGTCTGGTCTAGTCTGCACATTACATGGCGCGGCATCTCAGCCGGCCGGCCGTTCACCGCGGCGGCGGGGCGTGGATTGCTTTCCATCCCGCGAGCCGTGCACGCGCCTCTGCGTGTGTGTGCGTGTGTGTGAGCGCCCCGGCACTTGTTCTTGTCCCGGAGGAGAGACAGAGAGACGTAATGGGCCGCGTCATGGTCCTCGCTGTCCGTCCTCCGGGCGATGGCGATGGCGATGGCGAGGCCGATGCCTTCCGCCCAGCGCCACCACGGCGTGCACCACGGCGTGCACCACGGCGTGCACGAAGGCGGCCAAGTGCTCCCTCCACTGTACTCCCGGCGGCGCGTGGCGCGACTACACTGTAGCGACTCGACTGATGCGATGACGATGATTCGCCGCACTGTTGTACATTTTTCTTATCTGGGTCGTCGCGGTCGTTCGCCGCGGTGCAGCGGCTTGCCGTCGGCTTGCCGTGGTGGTGCAGCGCGGCGGCACGGCGTCGCGGCCGCGTCCCTCGTCGCAATCCTCGCCGTGGCGCAAGTGGCTGCTCTTGGCGCGTTGCGGCCCGCCCCGCACGAGGTCCGCGGCGGCAATCGAATTTGCACAGAAAGAGTCTACATCGAGTAGGACGGCTGGCCTATGTCGAGAGCGCTTTTCTGTCAAGAGAATGTCGTATTCATTTTGGGTATCCATGCCTCGCAGCCTCAAACAGGGACGTGTTCCTGGGGCGGAAGGCCGACGTCTCGTTCTCCAGAATGGGAATCTCGACGTCGGCGACTTTGCGCCCTCCGGAGTCAATGGGAGTGGACTGGCCGGTGAATGGCGGGGCGGGGCGGGGCGGGGCGGGGCGGGGCGGGCGGGCGCCCGCTTGCCGTGACGCAGCGCTGGCATCCACTCCGGTCAGCGCCCCTGCCCCGCCCCGCCCCGCCTCGCCCCGCCTCGCCCCGCCACGCCGTGGACGGAACCCGACGCAAGTTGTGCATCACTGAGGGTGTACCCCTACCGGCCTGCCGGCCGCGGCGCGCGGAATCTGATTACATAGCCGTGGAGCGCGGCGGGCGGCAGCCAGCGCGGGGGGCGGGTCGCGTCCGCGGCAGCCCAGTCAGTGCACTTGCAGAGCCGTGGCGGCCACTGGCCTGCCGCTTTTATTGAGTCGGATTTTTATCATCCGCCGCTGCGTGGCGCTTCATGCCTTGGTCGCTCTGTCTCTCTCGCGCTCGCGTGGCGGCCGGTAAGGGTGCGAGAGAGACAGCGACGCGCTGTCCGGGTTCGACTTCTATCTCCCTTATCACACCTGCGCCAGCGCTGTGCGTCGAGTGCCCGTCTGCCGTCCGTGATTCTTTGTGGCTCCTAATCGGGAGCAGTGCAGTCCGTCGGCTGCGTCGGCCTGCGTCGGCCCGGTGCATGGGGTCCGTTCGTAAAGCCGGTCTGCAGACTCATCTCGAGAGTCGTTTTCGTCGCTCTGTCTCTCTCGCTCTCGTGGGGCGTCCCGTTGTGGTGCGAAAGAGACAGAGCGACGAAGACGACTCTCGGAATCAGTCCACTGGTCGCTGACGAGAGACAGGCCCAGGCCTGGTGAGGCAGCGCTCCGAGCAGCGCCCTTTGGGCCAGAGGCGGTCAAAATCCCAGACGCGTTTTGAGCTCCAGAGTCGCTAAATGGAAGTCGAACCGAACTTGTGACTCCACCAATGGATTGCTCTCCGAACGAGGCATCCATTGGTGGGGTCACACGTTCGGTTCGTGTCCTGTTTAGCGACTCAGGAGCTCAAAACGCGTCTGGGATTTTGACCCGCCGCGTGGCTCACATGGCCGCCACGGCCCAACGCCGTGCCGCCGACGAGGACGAGGCGCCGTTTAGCTCGGTCCAGTCGGTCCAGCAACGACTGGCGCGGCGTGGCCGCGTTAATGAGCTAGATTGCGAGCCCCGGCTTGGCGGGGGCGGCCGGTTACGCCCCCGCATCGGGTCGAGGCTGACCGCGCGGCCGCGTGGCGCTAGGGGTGGTGGCACTCAATTTAGAAATAACAATTAGACCGAGTGGCGTGCGGCGGGGCTAATAAGCCGTGCATAACCCGTACGGCGTGGTGGCGGGGCGGGCCGTCGTGGAGCGTCGCGGCGCCCGCTTGCGCAACGCCCTGCCCCGGGCCGTGCGCGCCGCGCCCCGCGCCCCGCCACACACCCGAGGCTGGAGGCAGGTTGGCCCAGCCGGCCCGGCCCGGCCACGGCCGCGGGCACCAAGGCATGAGAACTCGGCTTTATCCGACTGATTTGGCGCCGCCAGGCACGGCTCCAGGCCCCATGACTCCCAACCTGCTTTCGTCGCTCTGTCTCTCTCGCACTCATGGCGTCCCGCGCGCCGGTGCGAGAGAGACAGCGCGACGAGACGCACGCAGCCGCCGCAGGTTCTCATCACGGTGTATTGACGGGCCGCCGGGAAAGCGAACGAAACCGAAAGGGACCCGTCGGGCGGGCGATGCCGGCGAGCGAGCGGCCCGCCTGGGTAGCTGAGCTGGGTTAGGTTAGGTTAGGTTGAGCGCCGCCGATTCCACAGTGCGGTAATAACGCGCAGCTCGCGCTGCCTCGGCCTGCAGCCTCGCCCCGTCTCTCTCGCACCTCTACGGAACGCCCCGTGCGAGTGCGAGAGAGACAGAGCGACGAAAACGTCTTTCGGAAACAGGCCGCTTGCCCGCATCTCGATGCACCGGGAGGTCTGCCGGCTGTTTCCGACTTCTCTCTCTCGCACTCGCGGGGCCAGCCGCAGCCACAAGCATGTGCAAGCGAGAGAGACGGCGACGAAGTAATCGGCGGCCTCCTGCTGCACCTGCAGGTGCACTGACCGCGGCCTGCGCCGCTGCGCTGCTGCGCCTCTGGCCGGCAGTAAAGTGACCGGTTAGCGTACGAAGTACTACAGTGCGGGGACGGCGCGGGCATAAAACAAGGGAAAAGGCGGCGATGATGAGAAATCGCTGCGGCGCGATACCGCGGCCAGCCCTTTATTGCCGTGAGTCGGCAGCAGTGCGCTGCTCTGCTCGCTGTTCGGCCTCATGAACCCCGTAGTCGCCGTCACTGGGCGGCGGCGTGTCAAACTCCATCACCGTCGTGACTGCTCCATTTTTTATTTATTATCTTTTTTTTCTGATGGGACGCGTCGACGCCGCGCCGCGCCTTTTGGCGGCCGCCATTTTCCCGTCTCATTTGTCCCGATTCTTTTGACTTGACGCTGTTCCGCAAATAATATCTCATTTTTAATTTTTTTTTTGTACCGCCTTGTCTTTTTTTTTTTTGAAAACGTGAGTGGCTTGGTGGCGTCGCGGTCTTTGCATCGGCCGGGCCTCGGCTGTAGGAATAAAGACCCTGTGCCTGTCCGTCTGTCTGTCTGTCCGTTTGTCCGTCTGCCCGCTGGCACTCTGGACGCCGGCGGGCGACGATGAGGCGACGCCGACGCCCTCCAGCGAACCTCCTCCGACGCCGCCGTCCTTTGATTCTCATTCGCGATTCGCTGGGCGTCGCGCGTAACGCATCGCTCTGTACGACGGCGTGCCTTTGCCGTGACGACGCCGAAGGACATCGTCGACCAACACACACCGCGGCGAGATGGGCATGACGGACACCGTCCCACTCGGCCTCGTCGGTGGCGTCTGTCGAGCGATTCAAAAGATCGGTTCATCGCTCTGTCTCTCTCGCACGCTTATGGAATGCCCCTCGAGTGCGACGAAGACAGCGTTGCTGTTTGGAATCGCTGCCCGGGCCGCGGCATGCGAGCCTTGCCCTGCAGTGCGGCCCTGCGGACGCGGACGGCCTTGGCGTTGTGGAAGGGCCGGGCGGGCGGCCCCGCGCCGCAACCCGGTGTGACGGATTTCGGATTACGGTTCGGCTTGCCGCCGAGAAAGCGCGGCCCGCATTGGCCACAGCCCGGCCCTCGGCCTGGCCGTTGCGGTGCCAGGGCTTTCGTCAGCTGGCCGCCGATGCCGCCGATCCGGACGGAAAAGTGTAAAGTGTAGTCACTACACTGTGGTGTCAAGCGTGCTCAATGTGTTTCGCTCTTTTTGTTGCAGGCTCCGGACACATGGGTGTCGGTGCACGCCGTCAGCTCGGCCGAGGGCGGCCTGCTGGACCCGGACGACCGGCTGGTGGACGTGGCCGACGACCGGGAGACGCTGACGGCCACCTTTGAGGAGGCGGGCAGCGACCACCCCGGCGGACACACTGGCGGCGATGGCGCCTCAGGGTCCTCGGTGGGGACCGGCTCCCCGGACATCTTCCACGTGAGTTATGGGGCTTGGCCTTGCCGGGCTTGGCGCCTGGCGGGTAGGCCGTCCCGTTGCGCACCCGTGCCGCGGGGCTGCCGACCCCGACTTTGCAGGCGTTTTTGACAGTGTGGCTTCCTCGCAGGGCTCGGAGCGTTTCGGCACGTGCGGGCTGGGCGGGCTGGGCCGCACGGACATCGAGGTGACCGGCGAGCAGGTGTCCGGACTGCAGCTGCAGGTGCGGCGCGGCAGCGAGCCCGCCCTCAACCAGCTGCCCGAGGGCCTGGACCGCCTGGACAGGGTGCCCTCCTCGACGCTGCCGCCGCCCTGCCAGCGCAAGGCGGCCTCGAAGCGCTGGTCCGCCGCGCCCATCATTATGGAGACGTCGGAGACCTCGCCGCTGTCCAAGGCCGCCAAGGCCACCACCAACGGCCACGCCGGCAGCCCGCTGGGCAGCCCGGGCAGCCTGGACTGGGAGGACGAGGAGCGCGACGCACAGCCCCTGCAGCGCGACGCGCAGCGCGACGCGCAGCGCGAGTCGCACCTGCGCCCGCCCGCCTACGGCCGCTTCAGCAGGGACGGCTCCAACCGCCTGTCCATGCAGTTCCTGGGCGAGTCCGCGGGGTGAGTGTCTCTGTGGCTGTGACGCACAGTGGAGGCGGTCCAAGTCTTCTAGCCCACTGTGGTTCGCGTCTTGAAGTACTTGTCTTTGACCTCCGGCCATGCTCTTGTGTCTTGCAGCGGTCTGCGCTGGTGCGACGCCGCCGAGCGAGTGGCCATGGCGTCCCTGCCCGCCATGGGCTCCGGTGTGCACGCCGGGGCCGGCATGGGCTCCGGCGGCGCGAGGGACGGCGTCGTGGGCGCGCCGAGCCGCGGGCAGTCGCTGTCGCTGCCGCGGGACCACCGCCGCAAGGAGCCCCTGGGCCAGGCCAACCACGCCGACAACGCGGACGGCCACGGCCACGGCGACAGAGACAGCACCGAGCTGGTGGTGCTGCGGAGCGAGGCCGGCCCGCTGGGCATCCACGTGGTGCCGGACTACGACCACCTCGGCAAGGAGCGCGGCCTGCTGGTGCAGGGCATCGAGCCGGGCGGCAGGGTGGACCGCGACCACCGCCTGCAGGTCTACGACCGCATCATCGAGATCAACGGCAAGAACCTGCTCAACATGCCATTCCACACGTGAGTTGAGTTCCGTTTGACGCCGACGTCTAGCTGTTTCCTACTTCGGTTTTAATGAATCGAGTTTCACCATTCCTTTTCTGTTGCAGCGTTCAGGATATTTTCAAAGATTCACTGAGGTCTCCTGAACTGAGACTGCGTGTAGTCAAACACCGCAGTAGCATAGCCAACTATACTAAGAAACCTCCTCCCCCTGTCTTTCCGAGATCGTCCTCCGACAAGGAGAATATTGCCATGGTTGAAACAGAGGAAAGATGTAAGCTATGTTTCCTTTACTATTTCTTTATTGAAAATAGCAATATGTACAAATCAATTTATTCCTATTTTCTTTCTTTGCAGTAGTGGGAATGCAGACTAAAGTAGCAACAGTTTCTTCAACTAAGAAGCTTCCTACCAATGGAACAAACAACGGAGGCCCTGGGTCCTCCGGCACACTTGTCCGCAACACAGCCACTGCCATATTGGCTGCCAATACTCGTCGAATGGGGAGAAAAGTGGCCATTGAATTGACGAAAGGCCCACATGGCCTTGGCTTCAGCATCACTACGAGGGATAACCCAGCTGGTGGCAACTGCCCTATTTACATAAAAAATATTTTACCTAAGGTACTGCCAGGTTCTTTGAAGATTGATGGATCTTTTGCATGATCATATATATATTTTAACCTGTCTGTTTTTGTCTGTAGGGGGCAGCTGTTGAAGATGGTCGCCTGAGGCCTGGAGATAGGCTTCTAGAGGTGAATGGTGTTGAAATGACTGGCAAGACGCAAGCTGAAGCAGTTACAGTTCTAAGAAATGCACCTGCTGGTAGTGTTGTTCACATTGTTGTGTCTCGGCAAGATGACACAAATGCCACAGGCTCAAGTCCTCAATCAAACTACACTGTGAGTAAATAAAATTATTCTCATCAAGAATGAAACCGAAGATTTTGTTCTAATTCTTGGTTACTATTTTTAGGAGTCATCACCTGAATCTAGTGAAGAGTTATCTAATTCACCATCTCAACCAGCAAACAGCAGTAATGAGTCACAAGATAGCAATAAATCATCCAGTAGTGAAAAAGCAATTCATATTACTAATGGTTATCACAAGGTATGTGTTCACCACACACTGAGGCAATCATCGAATTTGTATCTGTGTTCTGTTATTTTCTAATTCCCTTTTCCTTTTAGAATCATGAAAAATCAGGTGAAGATTCTTTAATATACCCATGGAAACACAAAGAAATTCTTCAATTTGACATCCCAGTCCATGACACAGAGAAAGCAGGCTTAGGTAAGACAGAGCAGTTTCTTCAAAAACCAAAAAGTTTTTGTGCACCTTGCAATGTGATGCAATTTAAATATTTTTGTCTTTTTGTCATTTTCCAGGTGTCAGTGTAAAGGGCAAAACGTCAGCTAATCAGAGTGTTAGCAACTCTCAAGCCGCATCATATGACCTAGGAATATTTGTTAAAAGTGTATTACATGGAGGAGCTGCCTCCAGAGATGGACGATTACGTACAAATGATCAACTTTTAAATGTTAACGGAGTGTCACTCCTAAATCAGTCCAATGCAGATGCCATGGAGACTCTGAGACGGGCCATGCTCCATACTGAGGGACCCATACCAGGGGTCATAACATTGACAATTGCAAGAAGAACAGGGGCACCATCTCCATCAGCGCCATCAAGCAGTACAAAAGAATCCCTCATTTCTAAAGGTAGGTTGACTTACACTGTCATTCTTACATTTGACACCCATGACTCTGTGCACTCTAACATGTACATGTATTTTCTTTCTTTTCTCTTTAGGAATTGAAGTTAATGGAAAACATGACGACACATGTACCCCAGACAACTCTGGGACCAGTGAGAATTCTGACAATACTGTTATATTTTTACCTTACAAAGACCACAATCGTGTTATTGATGGTGGTTTGGATCGAAGCTTAGATTGTAGTTTAGACAAATCCTTAGGTGTGTATGTTATGATTTTATCAGAAGTATTTGCCTTAGAGTAATTAATTCTATAGCACTCAAGTCTGTGTTTTTCTACCACTTTTTTATTTTGTTTCAGACTGTGTATCAATGCGGAATCCAGTTCTTGATAGACTAACCGGGCACACTCAAAGTGCTCGTCACAATGAGAGCTACTACCGTGCGACCCATGATACATCAACATGGAATACGACTGCTCTCCTGGCTGGTGGTTCATCACCCATTGATAGGCACCACGGCCACCTCAACAGCCCCACAGTTAACCCTAGTAATGCAGAAATGATTATCATAGAAGAAAGCCCCACCTATGGTACTCAACAGCCTCATACCAATCGGTAAGAAAACTCCCTGTTCAGCAGTTTATTTTTAGGACTTAAATTTATGTGTGTTTTTAACTGTTGAAAAATTCCTTGTTCAGTGGTAGGAGGGGTGAGGGTGAGGACAGCCGCAGACCAAGTGTCACTAGCCAGCAGTCGCAACCCAATAAAGTAGGACCACAGCTGCAACATCAACAATCACAACAGTCAGAACAAAGCAACACCAGCGAACCACATGGTGATGTGACCTATGCAAGCCAGTAAGTCCAAAATTTCAACATCGGAAATATACTTGTTAAAATGTGCAAATTTTCAGCAAATTTCTGATGCATTTGTATTTGCTTTGTCAGGCTCTCACTTGATGATGCAGCTGGATTTTCAAGAGATGCCTTTGGACGTCAAAGTATGTCAGAAAAAAGACATGCCACCTTAGATGCTAAAAGTACTGATACATATCAACGCAACAAGAAAATTAGGTAATATTTTTTGTCTGATTGTTCTAAAATTAAAGATTTTCTGTAAATTATCATGAGGACCATGTAAGACAATATCCTATTATCTTTCTTTCTATAGGGAAGAGCGTGAGAAGCGAGAAAAAAGTGGAAGCTCAGACCATGACACCAGCAATGAAGGTTTGTGTTCTTACCTGTCTGGTAATAAAAATTCGTTTTGTGTTTTTGCCACTTGTAGTGTGTGTTAAGGTGGAAAGATTATTTGTAAGGTTTAATGTGTGCTTGTGTTAATCCTCCTCTTTACTAATGCTAAACTAATACTTTAATTTAGTCCTTCCTATGGATGGATATCTAGAAATACAATTACAAAATCAACCAGTCTTCTTAGCCCTTTGTAGTATTATTAGTAGTTTTATTTTATTATTCTGAGGAAAGTGAATGTAGGTCTCTTATGGCTGCATTTGTTTTCTATTTCAAGGACGCCATAAGATTCAAAAGGCAACAGCAATGTTGCGTGGTATCTCTGTTGAATCTGTGACGAGTGTTCTTCAAGCACATGAAGCTTCTGAGTGTATGTACTTGGATGAGCACATTTCCATTTTAATATTTGGTGCACCATTTGTAACTAGTTGAGCACTTGAACAATACTTGAAATCTGTTTTGTATTTCTTGTTTCCTGGGGCTCTGCTTCTGTGTCTGTCAGTTTGTGGCATTTTGGTGGCATGGCTTGCTCTCCTCAATTATAACATTTTTATTCATTCTTTCCTGCATTCGGGCAACTCACTTGAAGCCGTAATAAGCTGCCCGCTATCAGCCTCCTTTTTTCATTCCTGTCGTCCTGCCTGCAGATTCTGGTGAACGCAAGAAATTCGAACTGGGGCCTTCCCTGGGGATGAAGAAGTCGTCCAGCCTGGAGTCGCTCCAGACCATGGTGCAAGAGGTGTGTGTTTGCGTCTCCATTGGACATTGGATGGATGTCTTTTGGGCCTTGCCGCAGAGGCAGCTGGTCGTCGGTGTCTGTGTCTCACGTGCCCTTGCTCCTCGCGCTTTGCAGATCCAGATGCAGGAGGACGGCGACCCCGCCTACACGTACCGCAACGCCCAGGGCGCGGTGCGTGTGATCCGTGGCCGCGGCTGCAACGAGAGCTTCCGCGCGGCCGTGGACCGCAGCTACGAGGCCCCCTTCGCCTCGGCCTCGGCGGACCTCCGGGACCGTATGGAGACTTGTAATGCGCTTGCTTACTTGGACCCTGCCTTACCCAGTGCGTACAACCCGTGCCTGCTTGACCCCGGTGCTGACCCTGGCCCTCTCGATGACCCTCTTGCAGTGGCCGAGGAGGACGGCGTGGCCGTGGACGTGCGCGACGTGCACGCCCCGCCGGCCTTCGCCTGCGCGCGGGGGGCGCCCCGCCAGTCGTCGCTCAACGCCATGGACGCCAAGAACAAGCTGGGCAAGAAGAAGCCAGGACTGCTCAAGGGCATCGGCTCCATGTTCCGGTGAGTCTGGTTCTGCTGACTAGTTGCCGACGCCGATACTTACTCTTCCATTCTGGGCCTTAAGAACAATATACACCTTACCCAAAGAGCGTAGTTTCTGCACACCCGGAAAGAAAGTGTCTACACTGCGACGGAGGACAATTGTTTATGATTTCTGCTGTATGGTTACAGGTTCGGCAAGCATCGGAAACCATCCGATTTGGACTGCGAGATGGACATGGACGACCCCATTGGTGAAATGGAGGCCGCTCGAAGAGCTGCTCAAGACGAACAGCAACGTATTCAGGAGCAATACCGAAGGTTGCTTCAACGTCAACAGGTAACGGTCTTCAGAGGTTCTGAACCAATGTAGTAAGTTTGCTACAATTAGTAGTAATAACCCATCTCTTTAATCCTAGCAGCAGCAACAACACCAACAACAGCAGCAGCAGCAGCAGGAAACTGCCAGTGTGAATGGGTCTGACTACGGTCATACAGGCCATAACAATCACCAATCATCACAGCAGCATATGAATCATCACCACCATCATCACCACCACCATCAACAACAGCAGCATGTCTCTTCGTCACATTCACATCACAGTCAACAATCACACAGCGGAGGAGTTGGCGGCAGCAGTAGTGAGGGATCTCCTGGGGAAGCGGGTCAGTCACGCACTCAGAGAATTCACCAGTTGCGAGCCCAGCACCAGCGAAGACATGTTGAGCGCAGGGGCCAGTATCCACTGGATGAGAGGGAGGAACGCTATGAGCAGGCCATTCAGCAGGTAATTACTACTACTGAATAAATTTCACAAAGTTGTGTGGTAACGGTGCAATTTGTAAATAAATTATTGCTCTTGTGCTAGTTTTAATCATTGTTATGTTTTTCACAGAGAGTCGATCAGCCATACCAGCATCAGAAGCACAAACCGACTGTGCATCCTTGTCCATCTCCCGGAGCATATGATCTCTATGGAGAGATGACTAGGCCTGGAAGCCGAGTAGGAATCACGGATCCAACTCAACATTTCAGCCACTATGTTAATTATGACGAAATTCAGCAGCACCTCAAGTAAGTGCCTAGTTTTTCTTGTAAAGGTCTCTGTTACTGTCGGACATAGGAAGACACATTGTAGGAAAAGTCACTAAAATGTGTAAAATTAATGTAACTTTCTTTGGTCTGTCTTTCACTTCTCTTTTACCATGACCAGAGAGGAACTCTCTGAACTCGATATCTTACAAATGAGACGGCAAGTCCAACTACAGAGGTTAAAAGTAGAGGAAGAAAGGTATGAGGATATCAAGAGTGCAAAGTAATTTCCAAGTTGTGTGTAGCTTTGTGTAAAATGATATCTTTACAAATTTCTTTAGACTTGATGCCATATTATTCATTGCACGAATGAGTTGCGACAATGTTTCACTTGAATACAGTGTCTAGAGGAAATATTTAGTTACTAATTAGATTGAGTGTGCCCATTATGCTTAGTTAGCCTTTTATAGAAGTCCTTATTTATGAACTGTGATCGGTAGATTGGTTGATATTGAAGTAGAGTCGTTATAGTGTGTGTGTATGTGTGCACGTCTGAGATTTGTTGATGCTTAATGTTTCCTTTCATCCCTGTCATACTATTTCTTTTCTGTAATTTCTTTAATTTACATCTTACAGTCGGCGGCAGCAGCACTACCATTCACAACGGAGAGACAATCGTGAATCCCATCAGAGACCAGTTTCAAATTTCTATGAATATGAAAGTGTTCAGGCTGTCATGAGAGCTAACCAACACCGCATGATGGACAATGGAAATACAAATTCACTTCCTCGTCGGTCGCCACAGAATGGTGGTCCTTCACCACAAGGGCAGCATAACTCAAGACCCCAAGGTATACTTATTTCCAATTGCCAGTGGATCATGTATTAATTAATTTGGACATTATGAGTTTAATGATGCAAAATTTTCCTTTCAGGTGGAAGTCACAGGCTTTTCTCAACCTACGGTCCGGTCAATGGCTCCTCCTTCCATCACGGCCCTGTAAATGGTACAAGTGGTATTCGCCAAGGGCCCTTCGTAACTCATGTTACAATTCGTGAAGCCTCCCACACACCTGGTTCAAAGGTGTGATGCTGTTAATTTGTCTTTCTCTTAAACAAAAAATCTATCAGTATAAATCATGAACTTCCATTACATTTAGTGCTTTGTTTGCCATGAACATTGTGTGCCAAGAGTTAGATTGTGATAGATGTGCCGTACAAAGATACAGAGGCCCAGTGGGCCATGTCTTCTTATTGTCATAAGCCAAAGATCATAGATAATATGTGCTATGACATAAAATGCTGCCTTTACAAGAAAAGGAATATTCAGATAGAATTTCTGCATTTCCTTTTATGTTCTCATTAATTAAACCTTTTCTTATTCTATCTTCTTGAGACTTTTGTCATGGCCAAGTAATATTGTGTTTTGCAAAGCTGTTTCAAAGTTGTTAATCTTAATCTAGTCATTAACAGTAATTACATATGCTGTGGGTGTAGCAGCTTACAGTTTTGCCATGCCTTCCTTGAAACAATCAAAATGTATGTTTGAACGTTTGGAAACTGATCTGCTTGTTTTGGGTTATTGTTTGATTTGTGCAATCATTTAATAGTATTTCTTTCTTCTCCTATGGAGAGAGGTTTGCTCTTGTTGTTGTTAGACTATGTTTTGAGCTTTTATTCCATTTGAGACAATGGCACTGAATTTTTAGTGTTGAAATATTGTACAATTTTACACCAGTATTTTGGGCTTCTTACTTAAAAATGGCTTAATCTATATTCTCCAGGAACAAAATGAAGTTTCCAAGTGAATTAGAGTGTGATTAGGTACTGTTATTACTATTTATGAATGTTTAAAAAATGTTTCTCATTTGCTATATGCCTCCTACTCCCAGGGCTGTGCTCGATTAACAGTGTGTTGTTTTTCTTCGGTATTGTATTTGAAAGTGATACATGTGTGACCTACCCAGTAATCACACATTGTTCTTCGATAAAAAAAAATTATACAAAAGAACTAAGTATGTATAGTAGACCACATCAGTGTCCTTTAGTTTATAAATTGGCTTTATTATGTTGCCTCCAATGAGCAACATTTGTGATTATATCAATTTTATACTGATCAACTTTTTCTACAATAAAATAAATATAATAGTTTCTAATATTTTTGTGTATCATTATTTGTATATTTGAATTGTGATTTGTTTTGTACAAAGTGTACATGATGAAGTCCTTGTTGACCTTGACTAATAAATATTTTATAATGAAGCAAAATAAGTCTTATTTGTCATTTAATTACACATAGCAGGTCCAAATTACGTTTCCTACAACTAGTCACGATACATATAATCATTACTATGGGCGATGTCAATCATCACGAGATCAAACTTAAAAATACAAGAACACAATAAAATAATAAATGCAATGCTACTGTAAAACTCTGGTGAGCGCAAACTACTTTCAGTCAGATTCAATCTTCACCTTCACCTCTAAACTTGATGGCAGGGTGTCAATGCTTCCTGACGGCTGACTCTCGGAAGGGATTGTCTGGGTAGTTTCAAAATAAAAAGAATCGTCAATCTCCTGCTTGATGGCGGGGGTGGGGGCACCAGGGTCCGCAGCACTCTCCTCCTCGGCATCCACAGAAGCCGCGGCCGCGGTCATGGCCACGGCCAAGACGGGGCTGCCGCAGTCCGACGCGCCATCCGGGACGCCTCGCACGCCCAGGGCTGCCAGCTCACGCTCCAGCTCCAGGTCGGCGTCGGGGGAACCCAGAGACGCAACCGCGGCGGGGAGTTCCTGGTCAGCGACCCCTCCAGGCTCTTGCCCTGGCCCTGGCCCTGAGGACGGGGGCGTTTCAGACACTGGCGGAGGCGGACCCGGAGGCACAGGCACGACCGGACCCGGCGCTGTCGAAGGCGACGTAGAGGCGCTGCTTGACGCCGAGGACAACCGCGATGAACGAGATGACGACGACTTGGAGGAGCTCGCCGACGACGCACTGCTCGCCGAGGACGAGGACGAGTCGGACGCACTTGACGAGGTGCTGGACGTTGACGACGAGGAGGATGAATCGGGGGACGGGCTCCTGGGCGCGCGCCGGACACGCGGACAAACCGCCTTTGACGGAGACAGTGGGGTTTCCCTGCCAGGATTTCCGCCGGGCTCGTCAGGGCCGTCGGCCAGGCCGTCATAGTGATCCTCGGACACGTACTCATCTGGCAGATGCTCGTCCTCGTCGTACACGGATGGGGTTGGCGACGGCACCGGCAGGGGCACGCCGACAGACGCCACGTACCAGGGCCACTGCGAGGATGACGGGGGCACGGCGGCGTCGACGCGAGGGTGCGGGTGCGCCCCGTGCAGCGACCACGCGGGGGACAGCGACGACATCCCGACAGTGTGATACGGCCTGTAGGTGGAGTTCTCGCTGGCGTCCTCGTTGAGGAGGAGGGGTGTCGTCATCGTCATGGGGTCCTCCGGGTCGGGCGACAGAGGACTGTCCAGGACGGGCGACAGCGGACTGTCCAGGACGGGCGACAGCGGACTGTCCAGGACGGGCGAATCTTCCGTCTTATCCACTATTTTGTAGCCTGCCCACCCGTCCAGAACACTATTTGAGTCCAGAACGGTGGAGTCTTCCGTCGAGTCGGGCTGCTGCTGCAACGCGGGGGCGCGGTCGGCGGCATCGACGCGGCGCTGCTTGACGCGCGAGTGGTCCACCGCGTCGCTGCGACGCTTGGCGTTGCTGGCGGGCAGCAGCGCCATGGAGAAGCGCTTGGCTTGCTGGACCACCAAGTCCCTCAGCTTGTCGTACGAGGCGTCCCCCGGCCGCGGCCACAGCAGGGGGTGCGGCAGCGCCTCGGGCGGCGGCGTCTTGGCGGGGTCCACGACGCCGAGGTCCAGGGCGGCGCGCGCCACCCAGGTGCGCACGGCCCCGACGCCGGTCAAGAAGCCCGACTCGCTGCACAGGCACGTCCCCCAGCGGTGCCAGGACTGCGACGCGATCCGCTCCACGATCTGCAGGTGCTGGAAGGCGCGGCGGGCGCTCCTGGTGGGCCAGTGCGGCCTCGTCGAGGGGGCGGCGGCGTGCGGCAAGGCGTGCGGCCCGCGGAACCGCGGCCTGTCGACGACGGCGCGGATGGGGCCGGGGGCGTGCGGCCCCTGCGGCCCAGGAGGCCCTGGGGGGCGGGACCGCGGCCCCATGACCATCCGAGCGTTGTGGGCACCAGGCCCAGGGGGGTACCACGACCCGAAGCCAAAGTCCGCGGGGGCGTGATGCGGTGGCGGCCGGGACCGCGGCGCGGCGGAGCGCAGGTCTCGCAAGGCGGGTGTCGGCAGCAGGAACCTCTGCCGCGGGACTGCCCGCTGTTCCCGCTGAGGGCGCTGCATCACGTCCACGAGTCCTTCACGCACAGGATCAACTTGCACTTGTCAGCGGGCCACGCCACGCCACGCACCGACGGGCACCGACACCGACACGACCTGCCGGGCCGACCCGCTTCGGCGAACTACAAGTAAACTTGACGCCTGACGCGCCTGACGCGACGACGGACGGACGGACAGACGCCGGCGCGACCCGACCCGCAGCGCTCGGCACCGCTACAGTGCGCCGGCCTGCCCAGTCCTGTCGTAAAGGCACCCCCGCCCCCTCCCCCTTCTCCGCGTGGCACCCGCACCCAACTGCTAACAATGAAAGCGATGCAACAGACACAAAAGGTTGGGTGCGGGTGCCAGTCCTGCAGCAACATCCCCCTACCTGCGGCCGGCCTGCAGTCCTAGAGAAACATGAGCACACCTGCAGAAGGGGTGGGGGAGCGGACAGCAGCCCGTGATAAAACCTGTGACAAACAGTCGGCCGGCGTGTTGATGTGCTTAGCCTTTCGAGGTCTGCTCTATGATATGTTCGTGTTCTGATTTGATGTTATGGTTTGCCCAACAAAGGTAGAACTTTGTAAATCAATTTGATATGATATTTTCAATAAAAGTTAAAATTTATTTACATAAAAATAGTAACATTAATACTCTGAATAAATACTCTATGAAATCATAAAATGGGGATACCCAGATGGAATGTGAGGTAACAAAGTAACAATAATAATCTTACAAACTAGTTGCTTTCACCCTGCATGGAGTTTAAGTCATTGCGCCGCCAGATGATTACGAGTCCTTGAACATCTGTGGTGGCGAGGAGGCTTTCGTCATAATTGAAGCTTACACCCAGGACAGGACAGGCATGACCCTGAAGTTTATTAACACAGGCTTTGCCTTCGCGTTCTATGTCCAGGAAGTAAACACAAGAGTCCTCACTTCCCGTTACTGTAGTAAACAAAACCAAAATTAGAGTGTAAAGAGTTGCTTTCAAAATTTTATAACAGTAATTTTAGTGCAACTGTAACTAACACCAAACTCACCAATGCAAGCGCCCTGCCTAAAGGACATAATAGGGCAAAAGGTAGATCGCAGCAATTGATGTTTGTGCCTAACAGCAAATTTTCGTCGGAGTTGAAGAGTGCCATTGTTGTCAGAAACTCTGGAAACATTTAAAAAATGGTTAGGTGAAGTAAATCACTGAAAATATTTCTCATTCAATCCTCTGAGCATACCTGAACAGACATACTACATTGGCCGCACAATTGACAAGAATAGTTGGATCCCTGGCTTCTCTACTCATCCATGCACGCCAGCTCAAACAAGTGATGGCACAGTTTTCAGCTATGTTCAGTTTCCTGCATTTAGTCAGACGACCAGATCCAGCATCAATAATAAATGAGACAATAACACCCTGGAAGTGCAAAGTCCCACAGTTAATTAAAATTTGAGGCAATCATGAAAAGACTTGATTCTGAATTTCTTATCAATACCTTGTTGTTTCCGGCCCATATGAGGTGTCCAGTCGCCTCACATGCTACCGATAATATTTGACCACCTATTTTTCCATTGCTTCGAGGACGTGGATAAATTCCTGTTGAAATATTGAGAACTAGAAGAGATCCCTGTCCGTTTCCAGCAACAACCATATTGCTGTTGGCTGGGACAAATGCACAGCATAGGACTTGGGCATTATCAGGATCTGACACGGTCCGTAGGCACTTAGGATTTGTAAGAGAAACATCCCATAGTCTGACAGTACCATCAGATGAACTGGTAACTAGTAAGTCGTTTGATATTGACCAATCACAGCCTGAAAGAGAATTAACAGTTATTCTTTGGAAATAATGACATATGAAGTGATTATAATTATACAATAAAAGAGAGTTGTGACAGATATGAATTTTTATAGTAAAAGCTACCTACCAGTTACTGGTCCCTTGTGACCTTCCAGAATGAAGTCTACTTTGGGCGGAGTAGCAGTGACATCACAAAGTGATACTGAGCCATCATTGGACACACAGCAGAGGCGGGAACGGTCATTATTGGCGAATTTGCACATTGTTACAGCTGCTTTATGCTGAAAAATTCCATCAGTATTATTGGAGTACAATCAAATTTAAAAGAAAAAAAATCTGTAAGCTTTTAGGTAGATGGGTAAAATGGTCCAGGGGGCTCACCTGATCAAATATGTGATGGACACCAACAAAGGCATAATTTTCATCAATTGTATTCCCTCCCACAATGGCACGTGAAGCTTCCGCTTGATGAGTAGGAACAACTCCACTGGCAACACTGGGTCGCCTGGAGAAATTGCTCAGGCTCACACCATCTTCACTCCCATGTAACTGTCGGAACGATTCAGTGGATTCACTTACCTGCAAAAGAAAGCCAAACATTTAAGAAAGAGAAAAAACGTTGAAAGGACAACTGGTAGGTTTTGGGGCACATTCAACATACCCGACTGCTACTTCGAGCACTCATGTTAAGACTCCTTAAACTTGCTTGATCACTGAACGAGATGCCATATCTCTGTTGCAACAATTGGTTCCTATGCTTTAAATACTGTCTGCGAAACTGTGAATCCTACGACAAAGACGGAAACTTAAGATATAATTCAAAAGAGATATCTCGACTGGAGCGATTGCACAAGGCAACATATTACTCCTTCACCTCAATGTACCTCAAAGAATTGTTCACTGACCTCTTTCCGTGGACACTCTCTCAAGAGTTGGCTTCTCCTCCGAATGTACTGGGTCCCTGCAAACAATAACATTGGGAATAAAACACAAGGTTGACAACTGTCAGAGCTAGGTTAGGGGCTGAGTGCAACGCCACAACGCGCCTGACAGGACACTGTGACTCTTCTGGAGTGGTCACGATGACCCGCTAGACGTGTCAACCATCACGTACTAAAATTTGGGTGGTTTGGCGCGCGGTGGGCGTTGTATTTGGCGTCTAGGGCGAAAACTTGTTGCTGCCAGACAGCCATGTTTACTCCGTGTTCGCAGCAGTAGCAGACGTCGTCCAGGTCGTCGTCGGAGTGGGACGGCCCGGGCGGTGGCGCCATCTCGCGGCGGCAGGAGCAACTAACTAGCGGCTGTTTCTGCTTCTGGCCACGGCGACAGGGACGCCGTTTCCTTCCCTCTGCAGACTGATTCAGAGAGTCGTTTTCGTCGCCCTGCCTCTCTCGCACTCATGGGGCGTCCAGTAAGAGCGACGAAACCGTCTCTCTGAATCAGTCTACTCACGCTCCGATTCTGATTCGGTTTTCGCGTCTTGTCGCGCTGCTTGCCATGCACCGTTGCCACCGTGCATGTGCAGATCACTGTACACTGTGTGTACTCACCCTGACGGCAGTGACTGCAGTGCAGGACACCGGGACTGTACTGCGGCGCTTATCACGGCGTAACGGCGTCGCGGGGCCCTGCGCAGAAATAGATAAATTGCTATCTCAACGCGCAGCGACACTATTGGGCCGCGCACCGATATGGTTCGGCCGGGACTCGCGGGCCGGGGGCAGTACAAATGAAAACTGGAAAAAGTGGGAGTAAGAAGAATTTTTGATAGGAAGAAGGATAGGATAGAAACGGGTACTTTTCAAGGGACTGCGGGAATGACCTCACAGTGGTCTTCCCTGTCGAGGGAATGAAGTCACTACGGTCTTCCCTGTCGCGAACACGCTGTGGTTTGGGCGCGTCCTTCGCGGTCCTCGGCCCCTCTTTCTCCGGGTGCGGGTTCGAATACTGGCCAGGAAGAAAAGGGCCGCCTTTTTACCCCTCGCCCGGCCCTCCACTCATTTCCCTGCAAAATCCCTAAGGCGTAGGGCGTAGGGTCGAGCTGAGCACCCCGCCGCCACCAAGACCACCTTATCTTCCACTTCACAAACTTTTTAAAAAGACAATTAAATTCGTTTGCTTGTCCGCCTTCATGAAACAGTTTTTCTTTCTCGGTAATCTTTTTGTCCTTTTCCCCCATTCCGTCTTATTCCTTTGTTTCGAAAGCGACTTTCTTTATTCCCTTTGTGCCGAGCGAGGCGGCGAGGCCTCGGAAGCTTCTTCCCCTGGAGGCCACTGTCGAGAGTTTCCTCAGAAAAATCAAGATATTCTGAATAAGTGATATCCAGGCCATGCCCGGCCGTGCCCGGCCGCGGCGAGCCGCCCCGAGTCTCGGGCGTGCCTTGGTCCCGCGCGTCCCGCGGGACAACCTGCTGCTGTCATTACAATTAGGAGAAGCGGATAAGGAAGTGCGGAACTCGCTTTGCGGCAAAACGCTTCCCTCGAGTCCTTCCTCTCCTTTCCGGCATTTCCATCATAAATTTAGCTCTTAATTCATTGGGTTGTGTGCCCGCGAAAACCGCCCTGACGGCACACAAAGAGTTGTCCTCCTATTGTCGGACGCTAACGTGGATGTAAAGATTTTTTGCGTCCCATTTAGCGCGACTCTGAAGCTCAAAACGCGTCTGGAATTTGACCGCCTGCGCCGGTCTTCTGGCCCACTGTGGGCCGGGCCCGCGGCACCCGGAGGGAAGGCCCTGCGGCGGTCCCTTGCTCCCCCCGATGAATTCCTGGGCCGCCGTTTGCGCGGTTCGCCGCAGATCGCGGCCGCCTCGCCGCCTCGCCGCGGCCGCGCGGGGCCATTTGGCGCCCTCCTCCCTCCCCCTCCCCTCCCCCACCCCCGCCTCGCCCCCGCGGCATCGCGGCATCGCGGCATCCAACGCACGGCCAATCAACCCCTTTGTCGGGCAGCCAGTCATTTTCTGTCCAAATGAACTGGCGCGGCGCGTCGCGGTGCATCGCGGGGTGACGACGACACCATGGGGGAGGCTGTGAGGCTGCCAGCGATCCCTTTGCATGCCGGCAGGCTCATTTCGCTCCGTCTCTCGCGCACTCGTGGGGCGTTCCGTAAGGGCGCGAGAGAGACGTCGTACAGAGCGATGACGATGTTCCGTCCGCCGCCGCCGCACCGTTTGCGACATGGCCGGCGGCCGGCCTATGGCGGTCCCGAGGAGCGGATTCGTCGCTCTGTCTCTCTCGCACCGCTGCGGCATGGTCGGTGGGTGCGACGGGGCAGAGCGACAAAACGCCTGTGTCGGAATGAGCCTGCTGCACTGTCGTTGGTGGTGGCCGTGCTGGCCTTGTTGGTGGCGGCGCGGATGGCGCTGCGGCCGCGGCGCTGTCATGCCCAGGCACGCCCCCGCCAGCCTCGCGCCCGCCGTGCCGTGCCGTGCCGTGCCGTGCCGCGGGAAAGGGGTGCGGAGGGTGGGGGAGGGCCACGGCACGCCACGCCGCGCCACGGCGGAGAATCACAAACACACTGCTTCCCTTTGAAGTGCGCCAGCCAGCCGCTTTAAAATGTAATGTCATAACAATTCAGCAGCACAGGCGGCATCAGGGGGCAGAGGGCGCGGCGGCGGCGGCGTTCCTCTTACCCCGACGCACCCCGCCCCGCCCCGCCCCGCCCCGCCCCGCCCACGTCCGGTGCAGCAAAGGCACGCTAGAAACGCGCGCGCTCTAGTCCGCCTTTGAAAATCGCGCGCGCACACACTAGACTTTGCGCGCGCATTACAAAACAGACGCAGAACTCGCCAGGGGGAAAAAGGACGAAAAATGGAAGGGAAAGAAGAACAAGAGAGATAAAGATGAAAGGCTTGTAGACAGAAGTACTATGCGCAGTTTGAGTAGCAGGCACGACACGAAATGTAATCCTTTCCCTTGGCAGGGCGGGGCCGGGCTGCGTTGGCCACAGGTAAGCCTCCTACTTGATAAACAGAGTCCCTTCTCGTCCATTGTGCCCATTGTGGCCGTTCGAGCCCCGCTGCCCCGGATCCAAATCCTGAATCCCTGAATGGATCTCAGCCTTAGTGCAGTGCACTGCCGGAGACTCCCTGCTTGCCACTGCAATTTTATTTCTCTGCGGTCACGGGCCGTGCCGGGCCGTGCGCAATCTCGCTCAATCGAATTGAATAAAAAGCGAAACGGGGCGAGGAAGGCAAGGCGAGCAAAGAAATCAAGAGTCTGGTCTTGCGCTCTTTGAGGCCGGCCAAGGCCAGGCCGTGCCAGGCCGTGCCACGCCGTGCCGCGCCGTGCCGCGCCAGCCCCGGCAGCTCAAGCCGATCATCCCGCTGCCGGGCCCCGCGAATCTTTGTGGCAAAGTAAAGCAAAGAGCAGTTGAACGTCCTCGAGACAAGGCCAACAGGCAGACAGGCCCCTGCACACGACAGTCTGTGTGTTTTCCGACTCAATTTCCCCTCCTTTTCATCTTTCATTAGGTATATATTTTTTGGGACGAGACAATGAGGTAAAAGAGTTGCAGCAGTCGCACGCAGACAATAAGAAGAAGGGCAGTTGTTACCTCTCTTTTGGCGAGGCGGCTCTGTCGGAGTTTGCGCCGACTTTTACTTTGTTAGCCTTGTCAATGTTTGCGGAGCGCGGGACACTACAGGCACTACCAGAGGCTCTCCGAACCGCGCCGCCCCGCCGAGGCAGCCAGGCATTCGTCGCTCTGTCTCTTCCTACGGGCGCCCCACGAGTGCGAGAGAGACAGAGCGACGAAAAGAATCTCGGAATGAGTCCACGCGACACTAGCGACACGCGGGGCAGGACAAGGAGAGCGCAGCGCTGCAGGGCCGTGGCGGATGAGGGGTCTGATTGGGGCGGACAGCTCGACTCGCTCTGTCTCTCTCACACTCACGGGGTGTGACGTAGGGGTGCGAGAGAGACAGAGCGACGAACTGCAGCGAGGGAAGTGTCTGCCGTGACTCGGTGGCGGCGGCGCGGCAGGCGTGCTGCTGAAATGGCCTTCATTCAAGCGCATTGTTCTGTGAGTTGCCTACATATAGGTTCCACAAAAGAGAGACCGAGGGGGGGGGGGTGTCACGACCGGTGCCCCCCTCCCCTCCGGGTACACACCTGCCTCAGCCTGCGTGATAGGCAATATCCGTGCTTTGCTCTCGAGAATGCCGAGGTAGGCAACCCTTCCGACACTGATGCCTCACGTGTCGTGGCGGTTACACTGTTGAGCCCCCACGGTGGCGCCGTGGGCTCGGCCGTGGGGCCCACAGCGGCGTTACGTGTATTCGTGCACGCGGAGGGCGTGGCTTGGGCGGCAGATGCCGGCGTTCCCACAGAGTATCCATCAGTGGGGGAAGCAGGGAAACGCACGCCGACGCCAAGGGAGGGAAAATAAAAATGAAATTCTGCCTCCGCCCACCGAGAGCGAGACGGAGACGGGAAATCCAGCGGGCCGAGATTGGAGGCTCGCGGCGCACCCTTGCGAGGTTGCGAGTGTGGCGTACGGCCGTACGGCGCACAGTGGGCCAGAAGACCGGTGGAGGCGGCCCAAACTCTACGCGTCCGCAAAATGCCACCCGCATTTTTCGAGAAGGCTTTTGACACGCTCACGCTGTACACGCTGCAGGAGTGTTGCTGGTGTACCGCACTGCATCGACCGCAGCTTCCCCTATCAGCCAGCCAGCCAGCCAGCCAGCCAGCCAGCCAGGGCGGCAGGGCCCAGCAGGGCCGCTCTACTCGCCGGCAGTACTAATTGTGGGTTCCGCAGGGCACAATCAAGGATCCGGGGGACGCGGGGAGGAGGGGTGGCGGAGGGGGGAGGGGTTCCCAGGGGAGCGCTGTGTCTCTCTCTCGCCCTTGCTTCTGGGGCCCGTCGTCCCCGTCCCGACGGCCTGTCATTGGTGCACGCCATGGCCCCTGGCACGGACACGGCACGGCCACGGCACGGCCACGGCATGGACACGGCGTGCCAAGTCTTGATACACTCCGCTGCACTGTCGCCCTCCCCGTCATGTCACGTCGGTGCCTTTCCACGGTACAGGCCGCCCCAGAACGTTCCCCGCCCCTCGTTCTCCCCCCCCCCCCCCAGCCTCGGGGCGCCCAATCTGCCCGATATATTCCAGGAGTCGGCTGGCTCGGCCGGCCGGACGGCACACGTGCCGCTGGAGTCCATCCAGGGCCTCATCCACTACCCCGTCCTGGCCGCCCCACCGGAGTGCCTGCGCTATGCACTCCGCTTAGGCACCGCCATCACTTATGCATTTCGTCAAGGTTTGCGATGCAAACTTGTCTGCGGCCGGCCGACTTATTTTGGCCGAGGCCGTCCAAGGGCCTTTCTTCTTGCTTGTCTCGGGTCGGGGGCCTCTCACGGTCCGAACGCCGCCATGGCGGCCGAGGCAAGCCATGGCAAGCGCGGGCGGTGCGCTGCCTAGCCCCCCAGGGGCACCACGGCGACCGCGCACTGCGTACCGAGCTCCTTAAAAATAACAAGTAGGGCCTCGAGTAGAGCGGAGGCGGAGGAGGAGAAGGGAGCAAGGC